GTAACAGTCACCCTCGGCACTAATAGTCACAGCATACATGGCAGCAAGGATAGCATCGAAATCAAGATCAGAGATAGCAACACCAGACTTATACAGATCAGCCTAGCGAGGGAGCTCAACGGCGTCAGGAAAATGTGCACGCCAGGCGTCAGACAGGCGACCGAAACAGCGCTGCGTAGTGTGTGGCAGCCCGCACGTCTCCCCACGGCGCTCGCTGGTACGCAGAACGTAAGTGCAGGGACCAATACCCCCAGACCTACCACGCCCAGCGTACCACTCACGAAGCTGCTGGGGCGACGGGGGCTCACGGGAACGCGGCTGCTGCTGTCGCTGGCTACCGCCAAAGCCTCCACGCTGCGCGGCTCCACCCTGACCAGCACCACCGCCACCGCCACCTCCACTGCCACTGCCGCTGCCTCCACCACCTCCACCGCTGCCACCGACGCCCCCACTCCCGCCACCACCCCCACCTCCACCCCCACCCCCTCCGCCTCCCCCACCGCCACCACCGCCTCCCCCGCCGTCCCCTCCACCACCCTTGCCCCCCTTGCCCTTGCCGCTGCGGCGCCTCCCACTAGGAGCAGACGCAGCCCCGACCTCCTCGGTGCCAACAAGGTCGACAGCAGCAGCAGAAGCAACAGAGGGCAAAAGGGGAACGGGGGAACACCCCTCAAAACAAGGGGCGCGAGGGTCGCCGCGAGAAGCCCCTACAGCGACTATGCTAGTCTCTGCTGCAGTGAGGCGCGCCTCGGGCAGGTCGACGGTGAGCTCGTAGGGGCTAAGGGAGAGAAAGTGGTCCCTGACTGAGCGAAGAGAGTCAGGGAGACGGGTGACGAGGTAGAAGAGGGTGATGTACATGGGGGGGGGGTGCTTGGCGCAAAACTCGGGGGGAAGCGCAGCGCGGTAGTGGGTGTCACTAGTGCGGAGGTGAGTGATGAGGTCAGCGACTGTGGCAAAGGCGGCTAGGTCAGGGAACAAGACGGCAGCATGAGGCGGCTGAGGGCAGCAGTGGCAGGGGAGGAGTGGCGCGCGACGATAGCGTCATACAAAGACTTAGCAGTCTTGTACTGGACAAAGTGCATGCGCTCAGCAGACGGCAGGTGACTACGAACAGCAAGGCGAGCAACAGCGTCACGAGTAGTCCACTGCGAGTGAACAGTGCTGTCAGCAGTGGCAGCAGGTGCTACAGAGGTGCCGGACGTGTGATCGAAAAGCGAGACACCGTCCCTAGAGTCGCACTGAAGATAGAGCTGCAGGTCATCTACCCAAACGTCGAAATCGACCGCACGACCCTCAGCATCGAAGGTAAGAACATTAGGGCTAGCCATGGTGGCAGTAGCAGCAGTAGGAGCAGTAGCAGCAGTAGCAGCAGAAGCAGCAACAGCAGCAGTAGCAGCAGAAGCAGCAACAGCAGCAGTAGCAGGGCAGCGCGGCTCAGTAGGTCAGGGCGGCGCGGCTCGGCAGGGCGGTGCGGCTCGGCTGGGCGGCGCGGCTTGGCAGGGCGGCGCGGCTCGGCTGGGCGGCGCGGCGCGGCTCGGCAGGCAGGCAGGTGCGCGGGTAGCGCGGGTAGGGCAGGTGCTCACCAGGGGCGGGTAGGGCAGGTGCCACCGGCGGCGGGTAGGACAGGCGCGCGACTGGCGTGTCTGCAGGCGCTCGACGGGCGGGTAGGGCCGGCGCTCGACGAGCGGGTAGGGCCGCGACGGGGCCGCAGCAGGGCAGGGCCGCGACAGAGCGGCTGTAGGGCAGGGCCGCGACGGGGCGGCGGTAGAGCAGGGCCGCGACGAGCGGCTGAAGGCAGGGCCGCGACGGGTGGCGGCAGGGCAGGGTCGCGACGGGCGGCGAGGTCAGGCCGCGACGGGCGGCGACAAGGCGGGGCCGCGACGGGCGGCTAGGTCAGGGCCGCGACGGGCCGTTAGGGCAGGGCCGCGACGGGTTGTTAGGGCAGGGCCGCTACGGGCGGCAGTGGGACAGGGCGCGCGATGGCGCAAGTGAGGCAGGCGCGAGGCGCGCTTCGGGCAGGGCAGGAAAAAAAAATCGTGGTGGGCCCTTAAAAAAAAACGTTCCCACTAGGGAACCTGCTCTGAAACCATGTCAGAATCAGGAAAAAAAGAATGACTAGAATGACAGCAGTACAGGGTTTGTATAGTAAAACCTAATTGGGCTGTACCCCATAAGGAGTGCCCCACTACAGCCTAGAGCATGTAAATGCATAGTTCTGACACTGCGCCATGCTAATGTAGGCATCCCGCAGCTCGTTGTGGGTGTTAATGCGGTGCTTGCCCGTGCCGCAGCGGAAGAGGTGATTCGGGAGGCGGGGGTCGGTGATAGCTTTGTGGTCAGCGCAGTCACAGTTCTTTGGTGTGGAAAACGGGAGGCCTAGCCGAAAGCGCACGGCGTTGGCGAAGTGCACAGGTCCTATCCGCCTAGTTGGAGTGATGGGGATCGCGGTCAGCCAGTCACCGGTGCTGTATCCAGTCAGCGAGAACATCCGCTGCGTGTGCCCTGAGAGTGGATTCGGCTTCATGCGCCTCGTCTCCTGAACCTGCACGGCATATCTGCTTCCGTGGACCTTCAGGTCGAGCACGTGTTGGAGCCGAACATCCGACCGTTTCAGTCGCTCCTTTTCCAGGATCTCCCGCGCATCCCATGGCAAAGCTGCTTCGCACTCAGTAAGCCACGCATGCAGTGGCGTGTTGTCGTCCCGTGGCAAGAGCATGTGATTCCGAGCTTGGATCAGGGCGTTCTCTGGTTCTGGCGCGAGGGAGGAGAGAAAGAGCGCCGCCTGGGTAAAACTCGCCGTGAACCCGTACAACCCTTCTATTAAGGGGTCCGTGAGGCCTATCCCACCCAGTGACTGTGGCAGTGACGCCTGCGCCCATACACGTGCTTTCTCGGATCTGCACGTGGGAACGCGGATATCGCACGACACTAGCAGAGCGGTGAGCAGGTCCCGTCCCTACTGGCTCCAGGTATCACAGGGGAGTAGGTGGAGGGGTGTCGTTCTAGTGAAATAGGCCACGCGCCTGGAGATGCAACGGGTGAGAAGCAGCGAAGCTACTTGGGGGTCGGCTCTTTCAAGAAGGGGTAATGGCTTCGCCATCTCCTCGAGCTGTCCCGATAGGAATTTGGCCGCTCCAGTATCGGGCCCCAGGTAGGTACCCAGAAGCCGCATGCCGTCCTTTGAATACGGCAATCCGTGCGGAAGCTGCGCCTGTTCGACCGTGGATGAGCCCCAGGCCGCGCACTTCTGCGGGTTATGCGTCAGGCCCAAGTGTGCCAGCTTGTCTGTGAAATACGTGAAGGCTGCTACAGTTTGTGGTGTCTCCCCCAGGAAAGTGACGTCATCCGCGTACGCCAAGCAGAGCACGTCCGGATGTGCCTCGGCTGTTTCGCGGAGTGTGGGGTGTATCCCTGCTGCAAACAGTAACGGGCCGAGTGGGTCACCCTGTCGGACACCGCGTTCGCTTTTCAGTGGTTCGCTGTTGAAGTTGGCGTCCAGGTGCAGTAGCGACGGGTTACTGTAGGTCAGCTTAACTAACGGCAGCAGTGGCGAGAGGCCGGGCTCCTGTAACGCTGTTGCGATGGCATGTCGCAAAATACTGTTGAATGCATTTGAAATGTCTGTTTGCAGTAGCAGGCTGTCGGGACGGGCATCCAAAAATGCCCTGGCTGCGTGGATAACCGCTTCTGCTCCACATGGCACTGCCACGCTGTATTGAAGGGGTAGGAAGTATCCGCGGGAGCTTCTCCCATGGCTGAAAGGGCTGCTTTGGCTGCCAGCCTAGTCAGACACTTACCTATCGCGATTGGCCGGGCGCCTCCTCCTGGTTTGGCCAGAGCGATGAGGCGTGACGCTGTCACTAGGTCTGCCACCGAGCCTGGTAAATTTCCTCCCAGCATCGTGTTTACCAAGGCGTGCAGATGGGTGCTGACCATTGCGTTGGTTACGGCCGCGTCGCGCAGGTGTTCAAATGTCGTGCTTGACGGTCCGGCCCCCACTCCGTTTTCGCATCTTCCCAAAAAATTTGCGAATTCGGCGTGGGTGATGGACAACTTTGAGCCCGGCGTCGCTGGCCAGGTCATCGTCTCGTGTGCAGCAGGCGGGTGTTTACGGCGGAGTTCGTCCAGAATTTCTGGACTAGGTTTGCAGACGGGCGTTGACTCCAGGGCCAGCACGGCTTGGCTCAGACGGCCTCGTTTTGCCAGGCCCTCGGCTCGGCTGATGACTCCAGTCGCATCGGGCTGGTGTCGTGGAGGTGGAGGGGTGTTGACCGCGTCTACTGCATCTCGGTACAGCTGCTCCCATTCGCCACGCTGGAAGGCTCGGAGCCGAGCCTTGATCTGAGGCCAGTTCGGCCGAAGTGGTGAGGTTTGGCGGAGTGTTAGGCGCGGGAGAAAAAGCAGCAGGCGCCATCCTGCTTCGGACTCCGGGTTTCGCGACAGGTGGAGTAACGGGGTCAGTAGTGCCAGCGAGAACAACTGGCATAGTTTTGGCGGTAAACGCCGTGACAGAGCTGGTTGTCGACTGTCGCTTAGTGCTGAAATATCCCAGTTCGCGATGTCAGCAAAAATGTCTGCTCGCTTCGCCAGCTCGTCAGCCGAAAAATAGCGGGGGTTTGGGGGGGTCTGGCGCACCGCTGTATCTGTATTCGCGCCCTGATTTCGTCGTGCGTGGCCCGGCCTCGTGGTCGATGGTAAGGTTGGAGTTACACCCATTCGATCGATATCGAACGGTCCCTGTTCTGCTTCTGGGCGGTGCCCTGTCTCATCTCTCATCCTCCCCGCTGTCTCCCTCGTCCCTTCTTCTTCCCCAGAGTCTCCGTCTTCGCTCACGGGGAGGGATTCTTCTCTATAAGTAGGGTCTGTGATTTCTTCGACTTCATTAGCTGCGTCTAAGGCGATTAAAGCCATCCTCCCCGCTGCTTGGTACCCGTTCTCCGGACCCCCGCCCGTCCCGCTAACAGCCTGCCTCCTAGCCCCGCGGTCTCCCCGTTCTCAAGATGGTGATTGCAGGTGCGCCTGAGCCGTCGCCAGAACGTGCTGCCGCCTGGTCGGCTGCTATCGCCAAGCCCCAGACGGAACCCGAAAAGGCGACCACGGCGATGAAGCCCCCTCTGCCGCCGGCTCCGAAGCCCGGGACAACAATATCTGAAATGCCTCCTCCCCTCGTACCCGGGGTTCCTGCTGCCGTGACTGCGCCTGGCCAATCTGCGCCTGTTGCTGCTCTATCGGCTCCGGCTGCTGCTACTATTCCCCTAGCTCCCCCTGTTGGGGCCCCGACGTCTATCCCTGCTACGGCTGTTGCCGATCCGCCTGTTCCCATCCCCGTCGCGCCCATTGCGCCGCCCGCTGCTGTCCCCGTCAAGCCGGCTCTGGCCGCTGATTCGTCACCGCAGGCGGCGTCCGCCACCACTGGCGGCCTGACCCTATTTGGCGCGCCGTTGGTGGCGGAAATGTCTCCGCCTGCGGTTCTGCCGACGGCCCCGATGGGACCGCAGGTGCGCCCCCAGTCGCCGGACCGCCGCTCGTCGCGTCCTCATTCTCCCGCACCACGCTAGGAGCGGGAGTCGTCACGACGCCGACACGATTCTCCTCGGCGTTACCGCCAGCAAACACACTGGCCTGCTCACCACGGTGGTCGTGGTGGCTGGTGGGGTCCCCGCGGTCGTGGTGGTGGTGGGGTGTATGATCCGCCCGTGAGGATGGCGGATCTGCAGCGGGTTGTGTCCAATGCGATGCGCGAGGAGAGGGCGGCGCAGAGCCAGAGCCGTTCGCTGCAGGCCGCGCCGGTGTACGTGGCTTCTCGTCAGGCTGCGCTTCCTGTGAATCAGCCGCCCGCCGCTGTTCTCCGTCCTCCTCTTCCTGCCCCATCAGCTCTTGCTCCCGCTGCATCGGCTCCTGCTCCAGGATCTCGCCTTCGTCTGCCGCCTGTTCCGCCAGTGGCGGGTGTAGAATTTGTGGCTGCGGGAGGAGGAGCGGCGAGGGCGGCGTACCCCCCTCTCGTTGCTGGTGGTCCTGCATCTCTTGCTGCCGATGAGCCGCTTCCATTCTTGGCGGAGGCACTTCAGCCCCCGCAGACCCGTGTTCCCGAGGCGATGCTTGCTCAACTGTCCCGCCTTGCAGAGAGCCTTCACGCGTTGCTGCTGATTCAGGTGCTGGCTCACTCGTCCCTCCCTGCGATTCCCGCTGAAACGTTCCATGATCGTCCGCGTGAGGTGTGTTTAGACACTGCTGACCAGCTCGCGCTGTTGCTGGCGCCCGTGTTGGCTATGCCCACAGAGGGTGGCGCTGCGGCTGTGGGATAGCTTGACAAGGCTGTCCGGCGCTTGAGGCGACACTTGCGCGCTGGTTCTGGCGCCGCCGCGATCGGAGCAAGTATGCTGGTGGTCCGAGAGTAGTGGCGGACGCTAACGGGCGTTCTTCACGCCCTTGGAGCTCACCGCATGTAGGTGCGGGCTCCGCTTGCCCCATAGGTGCTTCAATTGGCTAGGCCGTAGTAGATGGTGACATGTGTGTAATGTCTTTGATTATAAACTCTTATGTGTGCTTTCCCTTGCCGCCCCAAGCGCGCGGCCGAAGGCACACGAATAATGAGGCCTGGAGGCCAAGGAGGCCCTTTATATAGCTAGGGACGCCAGGGCAGAGGCTAAGGGCAGAGGGCAGAGGCTATCTCTCTCTCAAGCAGTCATGTATTGATAGGGTTCATAAGGTACAGGCATGGCATAGTGGTGGGAACTAACTGGTCTAAGCAGGCATGCAAGCAAACTGGTAGCTATGCTAGCAAGCAAAACGAGAGCAGACAGAACAACCACCAATTACAGACCCACCGAAAACCCCAAGCCCTATCAACCCTGACATCCTCCTACCCTGGGACTGCACCCCGTGTCCTCACCCCCTCCCTCACCCACTCCTTGCCGCCCCTACTACCCACACATACGCCCCACCCTCTAGCTTCACCCTACCCCTCCCACTCATCTACCGTTCAGCTTCCCTGCCGTCCCCTTGCTCTCCCCACGGCCATCTAAGGTGCCCTGGCAGGAGCTTCCCGCTCCTCATACTCGTCAGAAGTCATATGCCAGAGATCTGCCAGGCGTGGGGCCCATGGGTCTGCTGCTGCCTGTGAGAAGGCCGCCTCTGCCGCTCGGTTGGACTTGGACAGGGGGGAAATTGCTTGGCTGAGCTGCAGCATCACTGACCATCTCTGGCAGTAGTGCGCTGTGAGCCGAGCAGCCGTGGTGGTGAGGCGCCCCTGTCGAAATTTCTTCTTTGCTGCATGCGTAGCCAACATCCGAAGAAATTGTACGGTGTCAGCTGCCATTGCACCATATGGCTCGACTGCCAGCCCAAAGAAACCGGCATAGCTCGGGCGCCCCTCGTACAGCCAATGCTTTTTCTGTGAAGCTTCCTCTGCAGCCCAACCTGGCAGCCTACGTGCTCTCACATCCCTGTTCTGCAGCACTGGGTCTGTCACGTCAGTCACCCATGTCTCTCCAGATTCCTTGTCCCGGATTGCTAGGTCCGCCCTCTTCCTAAGGACTGGTGCCGAGAAGGCTGAGGTCTCATGGAAAGTCTTGAAACCGGCCTCATTCGCCATGCGTAGCGCAGAGTACACGAGAGCATTGTGTGTTCGGGCTGCATCCCCTCCGTCTTGGCAGCGTAGGAGATGGTTTGGCAGACTCTTGTCCAGGTTTGCCGAGCCCCGCCGTTTGCATGGGCAGACCTCGGCCACTGGCAGTTCCATGCCTAGGCGGAGGCCTAGGGCCAAGGAGAACTGACCAGGGGAGATAGTAAGGCCAGCTCTCGTTGGTACTGCATGAAGCCAGTCGCCTGCCCCCACCCCTTTCAGACTAATCAGCCTGATCCCGTGGCCCTTGTGCCTGCCAGGTCTGTCCACGACGGTGTCGCCCAGAAGATCTGCTGCCCGCTGCAAATTGATCTGCTTCGATAGGCCCAGCTGCAAACTGCCTGTGCCCACGCTGTACGCTCTGTACTAACTAAGGACTGCCTGCGCTTGGGCCGGGAGACCCTCCTCCAAGGCGGACAGTGGGTTGAAGTCTGGGGGGGGAGGGGACCAGTCATGGGCCAATAGCGTGATGGCCCTGTGAAGCAGGCAATCAGAGGGAAGGCACAGTTGCTGCAGGAGCGAGTGTGCAGCTGTCACCGATGCAATGTGGGCTGTTGGCACCTCCGATATAGGGTCAATGATCCCCAGGCCGCCGAGCCAGATGGGTAGAGTTGCCTTGCACCACAGGAGACTCTGTTCCAGTTCCGACGTCGGGATGTTCAGCTTCGCCGCCGCGAGGGCTGAGCCCACAAGTGCCTCACTCCAACCCCTCCACTCCTCCAAGCCCAGTGCCGTTGCCGGTGTCGTCCGCAGCAGGTAGGAGATGCGGCGGGAGATACTGCGGGAGAGGATCAGCAGGGCCGCCTGAGGGTGGAGCTGGTTGATGAGGTGGAGTGGTGACGCTGCCTCCTCCAGCGATGCTCTCACTTGGTCAGTGCAGAAGTCCGCCCTGCCGATAGGGCTACCCAGGACCCGTATGCCTCCTGGGTCCGCGGTTAGGCCTAAAGGTAGCTCCTCGTTTACCCCTCCTTGTATGGCACACCACGCCGAGGACTTAGAGATGTTGCAGCGCAGTCCGCAGTCGGCTAGGTTGCCAGCAATCTTCGTGAAGGCGCGGCACGCTGCTTCCCTCGGACCGACGATGGTGATGTCGTCCGCATAGGCAACCACTGCGACTTCTGGCATTGTCACCGAGATACTTAAGAGGCCGGCTGAATCGCTGCTGCGAACAAGAGGGGGGCCATGGGATCTCCCTGCCTAACGCCTTGCGAGCTCTGGATGTGGTCGACGCCAAGACGTGCGTCGGTGAGCAGGCGTGAGGGACCATCATAGAGATTGCGGACGAGGGGGGGCAAAGGGCTAAGGTCAGACCATTGGAGTGGCCCAAGGAAAGCGCTTCGCTCAACGCTGTTAAAAGCGTTTTCTACGTCTAACTGGAGGGCGATGCGTGTCTCGTCCTCCCGGAGTAGAGACCGGACGGTGTGAATGATGCACTCCGCTCCTCCTGGGACTGCTACGCCAAACTGCACGGGTAAGAAGAAGTCCCTTATCTTAGGACCTAAAGTGTGTAGCGCCGCTTTCACCACTACGCGGAGCATAGCTTCACCAATCGCTATAGGCCTCACTCCGCCGTTTGGCTTCTCCAGTGCAATGAGGCGGGAAGGCAGCAGCAGATTTCTCACGTGGTTAACTTGGAAAGAACTTAGCAGCTGATTGACTACCTTGGCGAAGAGCAGTAGCAGTTCTTCGTTAGCCAAGGTAGGGTCTCTCATGTGCTCGAAACAAGTGCCTGAAGGACCAGCACCGACACCGTTCGGGCACTTCGCTAAAATTTCGCGGAGCGTGTCCAGCGGGACAGCTAGGTCGGAGTTTGTGATTCTGGTAACCCTCGCGGCGATTTGACTTTCCGCTGCTGGATGTTTCGCTAGCAGCGCTTCAAGTGTAGCTGGGGTTGCCTCTGCGAGGGGACTCGTTCGCAGCGCTGCCACTGCTTTCGAAATGTTACATTTTTTTCAGTAGCCCCTCCGCCCTAGCACAAACCCCTTCCTCATCTGCCTGGTGTCGTACTGGGGCCCCTGTGACGGGGATGACCCCTGCTTCATAAAAAAGGTCAGCCCACTCGCCTCGTTGGAATTTGTGCAGCCGAGCCTCAATTGCTGCCCAACGACTTCCCATGGCAGGTTCGGGTGCTGGCCTTAGGGTGAGCCTCGGTAGGAACAGCAGCACCGTCAATCCCCCTGGGCAGCCATGGTTTTTGTCCAGGCGAATGAGGGCTGCCAGCATGCACAGACAGTATCTGTCTAGAAGCTGCGGTGGCAAACGGCGGACGTGGAATGGCTGATCGCCTCGCTGCAGTATGCCCACATTCCTCTCCCCCACCATGAGATAGATGGCATTGTCGCCAGCCAGGTCGGCTGGCGAAGGTACATCAGTGTCCTCCGTGGCCGCTTCTCCTGCTTGTGGTCCTGGGTTGTTCCTCCTGAGTGGGGTCTCCTCGTTGTCCAAGGAAATCTCTTCCGAGACCTCCTCTTCCCCAGCCCTATGGTGGTCCCTAGGTTATCGTTCCAAGCCTAGCCAAGCGCCTGGTGCCAGCCGTCGCCGTCGCCGCCACATTCGCGCCCGCCGCTGCTGCCGTTATCACTGCCGCTGGTGGCGCCCCACTGTTACCGCTCCCCGAGCCCTCCGGCGCCGGCGCCTGCGATGTTGCCACTTACGTCGCTGCTTGTGCAGTGGCAATCCTTGCCGACGTGCCGCCTTGAGATGGCGACGGATGCTCTGGCTCTCGTGGCGACTGCCCTTGCAGCGGCCAGCCCAGGAGGGGTCCCGGGGGTCCAGGTCCCAGCCCTGCTCCTGGCCGCCTCGGTGTTGGCTGGGCGCGGGGTCTCTTCCCGGTCTTCCCGCAGACGGCGGGAGCCACGACGCCCTTCCCGTGACCCTGTCTACCGCCCGCCGCCTGGCCGTGCCCCTGCATGTCTGCGCCCCCGTCAGCAGCAGACGTTCCGGCGGACGCAGCGGCAGCCGTCACTTCCTCACCGTTCGGCTCACCATCCCGTCTCCCCACCGCGGCGGACACGACCACAGCAATCATAGGCACATCCACCGGTGCCGGGGATGCAGCCAGCCCCGCCTCCACCGTCTGTCCCTGTTCCGCCAACGGCCCCCCCTCCTCAGCAAACAGTGGTGCAGCCTGGGGAGTGGCAGAGGGCAAAAATGAGCCGCCGCCAGAGGCAGCGGCAGTCCCGCCAGCAAGGACCGGGTCCACCACCGTCCCCGCCGCCTTCACAGCAGCAGCGGCAGCCTCAGGCACCACATCAACAGCAGCCTCCGGCGCCGCAGCCGCTACAGCCTCAGGCACCGCCGCAACTGCAGCCCCAGCGACCGCAGCCCCCGCTGTCTCAGCCGCCACTACGCCGTCGGTTCCAGCCGCCGCTGCAGCAGCAGCCTCTACCTCCAATGTCCCCAGTCCCTTGGTCTCCTTCCCCCCGCACCCCCCCCCTCTCGTCAAGCCGGTCTGACCGCAGGCTCGTACCCTTGGCTCTTCGTTGGCGGGCGAGAAGTGCCGATTCCATGAGGGCTGCTGACCCCTCCAACGCCGCCAGCTCCCCGCGCTGTGGTTCCTGAGGCGGGGTGGATTCTGACAGGCGGGAGTCTCTCTGACGGCGTCGCAGAGCGCGCAATGAACGTGGGGAGTTGCCTAACTCTCCTATCATACGTGCTTGATCAGCTTCATTTGTACCTGGCGCACCAGGGTCTTGAGATCGAGGGGATGTTGCCCTCGGAGCTGGCGGCGGTAGAGTCCGCAGCGGAAGAGCTGCTGCATTTCCTCCCCTTGATTGGGTACGTGCCGCGCTCCCCTGGTGCTGCGCTTGGACCTGGCCCCCGGGCTTTGCTGCAGCTTGCCGAATCTGCCCGGGAGGCACCACTCGGCCTCGTGTCAGCAGCCGCATCCGTCCTGCGCTGGATGGACGGGAGGCTATGCTAGATCCTCGCCGAGTAGCAGATGTCTTTCCCTTGCCCGCCCCCTTGGTGCTGGGCTGGGCCTTGGGCTTCCCCATGACGGATAGTCCACGCCTGGGGGTGTTGTTGTTGGAGTAGGTGGCTACTACTGCATGCTGTACTACTTGCTGTTATAGTCCTTATTTCCTTCTGTCCTTGCCACACCTCTCGCGCGGCCGAAGGATGCGCCGGCGAGCAGCGGCCGGCGCGAGCCGCCGTTTTTGGAGAGTGAAATGAACTCACCAGTGAAGAATGAGCTCAAAGGGGTGCACCTAGGGACTTTATACTAGGAAACTAGACTGGAAAAACGGCTAAGGACTAGATTCTACACTAGAGAGGGCTGAAAACGGCTAAGGACTAGTCCATGCCATGTAGGACCAGGGTACAGGCATGCAATGGAAAACAGCAAAGAACTATCATGCTAAACCTAAACTAATCATCCCTGCCAAGTCCCCTAGAGCTCTAGAAGAGGCTATAGAACGGTAAAACAGTCCCCTAGATATAATTCTTGCCCTATCCCTCCTACAGGCGGGTTCTCTGCGGCCGCCGCCTCACCAAGTTTGAGCAGGTACCCCACGGATTGCGCCCTCTCTAGGGCAACCGACCACCTCTGCCTGAACTGGTGCAGAAATTTCGCGGCATGGAAAGATTTTGAGTCGGCGTTGAAGTGGCGCCGAGCCGCCGTGTCTGCAAGAAGCTTCAGGAACACAGGAACTTCGGCGCAAGGGCAGCCGTAGGTCTCTTCTGCCAGTGGGAAGAAGCCCACCGTCTCTGGCCGGTTGGCATAGTGCTTAATTTTCTTGTCAGCTTGCTCTCGAGCCGCCCATCCCCTGCCTTTCTGTGCCTCTGGGTCCCTAGTACTGATAGGGTCCGTGATTGTCACGTCACACACCCAGACCGCCCCACTGCTTCTGTCTGTCATGGTAAAATCAGCCGTCTGCTCCTCAATAGGGCAGTGAGCACTGGACTCCTTGTGAACGATGAACCCTGCGTCTTGCGCCATGCTGATGCATGCGTCACGCAGTTCGTTGTGGGTATTAGTACGATGTTTACCCGTCCCACAACGGAAGAGGTGATTGGGGAGGCGCGGGTTTTAGTCTGTTCTGTGCAATCGCAGTTCTTCGGGGTGGAGAAGGGGAGGCCCAACCGGAAACGCACGGCATTGGCGAAATGCACCGGGGCTATGCGTCGTGACGTTGCTACTGGGACTGCCGTCATCCAGTCCCCGGTGCCGTACTCGGTAAGTGAGTACATCCTCTGTGTGTGGCCGAAGAGGGGGTTCGGCTTCATGCGTCTCGTTTCCTGGACTTGCACGGCGTACCTGCTACCCTGGACTTTAAGGGCTAGCGTGTGCTGGAGCTTGATATCCGAGCGACAGAGCCTCTCCTATTTTGAGTGCGTCCGAGGGCATAGCTAATTCGCATTCTGTGAGCCAGGAGTGAAGCGGGGTGTTGACATCTCGGGGCAGTATCATGTGGCTGTGGGCTCGTGTCAAGGCAGTGTCCGGGTCTAGCATGAGGGAGGAAAAGAAAAGCGCCGCCTGTGTGAAGCTGGCTATGAAACCGTAAATGCCTTCTACCAGTGGGTCCGTGATGCCTAGCCCGCCTAAGGACAATGGCAGCGACGCCTGCGCCCAAACTCTCGACTGCTCCGTGCCACTCGTTGGGACTCTAATTCCGCATGACATTAGGAGCGCGGCCAGGAGGTCTCGTCCCCACTGTGCCCAGGTATCGCGTGGGAGAAGGTTCAAAGGTGTAGTTCGAGTGAGGTAAGCTACACGTCTGGAAATGCAGCGGGTGAGCAGCAGGGAGGCTACTTGGGGGTCGGCTCGTTCTAAGAGAGGCAGCGGCTTCGCCATCTCTTCTAGTTGCCCTGCTAGAAATTTGGCGGCGCCAGCAGCCGGCCCCAGGTAGCTGCCGAGTAAGCGTACCCCGTCCTTGGAAAACGGGACCCCCGGCGGCCGCTGGTCGTGCTCCAGGCAGCACACTTCTGCGGGTTGTGTTTTAGCCCCAGTTGTGCCAGCTTGCCGGTGAAAAACGTGAAAGCTGCTGCAGTGCCCGCCTCGTCGCCCAAAAACGTGACGTCATCCGCATATGCTAGGCAGAGCACTTCGGGGTGTGCTTCGGCAGTTTCGCGGAGAGCCGGGTGTATCCCTGCCGCAAACAGTAGTGGGTCGAGTGGGTCCCCCTGCCAGACACCCCGTTCACTGTTCAGTGGGGGGCTTGCAAATTTCGAGTCAAGGTACAGCTTCGAAGGGTTACCATACGTGAGCCGGACCAATGGGAGGAGTGGCGAGAGGCTGTTGTCGCGGAGCGCGTCGATGATTGCCTGACGCGAAATGCTGTTGAACGCGTTCGAGATGTCAGTCTGCAGCACCACGCAGCTGGCTCGTGAGTCAACGAATGAACGAGCGACGTGGATGTTTGCCTCGGCTCCACCTGGCACCGCCACCCCATACTGTAGTGGCAGGAAGTGGCCTCGTGCAGCCTCCCCAATTATAGTCAGTGCTGACTTGGTTGCGAGGCGAGTCAGGCACTCGCCGATTGCTATTGGTCGGGCCCCGCCCCCAGGTTTGGACAGCGCGATAAGGCGCAAGGCTGTCAGCAGATCTGCCACTAGCTCGGGTAACTTTCCCCCCAGCAGCGTGTTGACCAGGGCGTGTAGGTGGGTGCAGACCGATGCGTTGGTTGCGGATGCGTCGCGCAGGTGTTCAAAAGTGGTTCTAGACGGTCCCGCCCCAACGCCATTTTCGCATCGGCCTAGGATTTTAGCGAAGTCAGCTTGGCTGACTTGGAGGTTCGGGCCCGTGACAGTCGGCCAGGTCAACTCCTCGTTGTCAGCTGGCGGGTGCTTCGTGCGAAGTTCGTCCAGGATTGTAGGGCCAGGCGTGCAGACCGGGGTTGACTCGAGGGCTAGCACAGCTCGGCGTAGGCTTCCGCGCTTTGCCAGGCCCTCTGCCCTGCTTAGGACGCCCGCCTCGTCAGGTTGGTGACGTGGAGGTGGTGGGGTGTTGATTGCTTCGATCGCGTCCGAATACAATTGCTCCCATTCGCCACGCTGGAAGGATCGGAGCCGAGCCTTGACTTCGGGCCACTTTGGTCGTCTGGGTGATGTTTGGCGAAGTGTAAGTCGTGGGAGAAATAGTAGGAGTCGCCAGCCTGCGATCGAATCCGGGTTTCGCGAAAGGTGGAGGAGTGGGGTGAGTAACGCCAGTGAGAACAACTGACATAGATTGGGCGGTAATCGGCGTGACACGGATGGCTGACGACTGTCGCATAGTGCTGCAACATCCCAATTTGCGATCGCCGCGAACAGATCTGCTCGCTTCGCTAAGTCTTCTGGCGAGTAGTAATGGGGGGAATATTGGAGGTTCGGTGCTGCAGGAGCTCCGCTCGCGACTCGATTTCTCTGTATGCGTCTCGATGTTGCGGTCTGCCTGCGGGTTGGAATTACAGCCGTACAATCAGCGGATGGCACTCCTCCTGCCTCCCCCGTCTCGTCCCCAGCAGCCTCTTGCCTCTCAGGCCTTTGCCTCACGGAGTCTATGTTTTCCTCCTCGTCACTCTCACTTAGAGGCAGCGGTTCTTCTCTATAAGTAGGATCCACTCTCTCGTGAGGGTCATTAGCTGACTCTAGTGCCGTTAAAGCCACTCGTCCTGCCGCCTGAAATCCGTTCTCCGGTCCCCCTCCTGCTCCGCTTGCTGCGACGCGCCCTCTTCCGCGTCCTCCTCGTCTCCGAGATGGTGATTGCTGGAGCGCTCGATTATTCGCTAGTGCGCGCTGGCGCTGCGTCGGTTGCGTACGAAAAGCTGCCGGCTGCATGCGGAACGGAGACCACGGCAACGGAACCCCCACTGCCGCCTTTTCCGAAGCTCGCGAAAGAAGCCGCTGGAAGCCTTCCTCGCCCTGAACCGTCGCCTCGCGAGGGCGGTCATCCGGTTCCGGCGCCGTCGGCGTCTCTTCCAGACGCGCCGACTGCTCCCCCTGCACCTCCTGCGGCTGCTGTCGAGCGGTCTGCTCCTGCCGCTGGTCTCGATCCTGCGCCGCCTGCGTCGTCTGCTCCCGACGCTGCGCAGTCTGCCCCCGTCGTCCCTGCTGCGCTACCTGCCGCTCTTGTCCCCCCTGCGGCGATCCCCGCCGTTGTGCAGTCGCCGCTGGCGGTGTCCGCCACCACTGGCGGCCCGGCTCCATCGGTTGCGCCCTCAGCGGCGGGTCAGTCCGCGCCTGCTGTGACGCCGATGGCCCCGGCAGGTCAGCCGTCACGCCCCCCGTCACCTGACCACCGCCTGTCTCGCCCCCATTCCCCCGCGCTCCACCAGGAGCGCAAGTCGTCTCGTCACCATCGTGATTCTCCACGGCGTTACCAGCAGCCGCCTCACTGGCCTGCTCATCCCGGTGGTCACGGGGACTGGAGGGGTCCCCGCGGGCGCGGTCGTGGGGGGTACCGCCCGCCCGTGACGATGGCGGATCTTCAGCGGGAAGTGTCAAGGGCGGCACGCGAGAAGAGGGCAGCGCAGAGCCAGAGCAGTTCGATGCGCGCCTCGCCCGCCCATGAGGCTCCTCGCCAGCCCATGCTCCCCTTGAGTCCTCCGCCTGTCGCGGCACCCCCACCTCAGAATCACCGCCCAACGGTTCCTGCTCCTGCTGTCTCGGCACCCGCTCCTGGATCGCGTCTTCAATTGCCGCCGGTTCCGCCTGTTGCGGGGGTGGAATTTGTGGCCGCGGGTGGTGGCGCGGCGGCGGCTCAGTATTCACATCAGGTTGCTGCTGATGCGCCGCTCCTGTTCCTGGCGGAGGCGCTTCAGCCTCCGCATACGCGTGTTCCCGAGGCGACGCTCGGCCAGCTCCACCGCCTTGCGGAAAGTCTCCACGCGTTGCTGTTGATACAGGTTGTTGCTCACTCGTCCCTCCCCGTGATCCCTGTTGAGACGTTCCGTGACCGCCCGCGTGAGACTTGCTTGGACGCGGCGGACCAGCTCACAGTGCTACTGGCGCCCGTGCTGGCTGAGCCCGCGGAGGGTGGCGCTGCTGCTGCAGGACAGCTTGACGAGGCTGTCCGAGGCTTGAGGCGGCACTTGCGCGCAGGATCTGGAGCCGCGGCGATCGGCGCAAGCACGCTTGTGGTCCGGGAGCTGTGGCGCACCCTGACGGGCGTTCTTCACGCCCTTGGAGCTCACCGCATGTAGTCGCGGGCTCCGATTGCCCCATTGATGCCATGCTTGTCTAGGATGTTACAGGAAGTGCCATTGCGTGTATGCCTTTGTTTGAAGTTTATTGCGTGTGTTCCCTCTTGCCGCCCTCTTCCCTCTTACCTAGCCGCTCGGTTAGTAGAGCAACCTAACTAAGAACTGAATAATGAGGCTCTAGGACTAGTAACTAGGGCCTTTATACTAGGCTGGAGAGGGATGGAGAGGCTAAGGACTAGACCTCTCTCTCTCTCTCTCTCTCTCTCTCTCTCTCTCTCTCTCTCTCTCTCTCTCTCTCTCTCTCTCTAATGGTCCTTGTATTGATATAGCAGCAAAGTACAAACATGCAGGGTATGGACGTAGCAAACAAGGCAGTCATACCTACTCACTATTCACCTAGAGCTCCAAAAAGGGCTCTACCACCGCGAAACAGTCCCCTAGGTGCAACTCTTGACCGATCCCCCCTACAGGCGGGTTCTCTGCTGCTGCCGCCTCGCCCAACTTGAGTAGAAGGCCCACTGACTGGGCCCTTTGAAGTGCCACTGACCATCGCTGCCGAAACTGGTGCAGGAATTTGGCGGCATAAAAGGTTTTAGAGTCGGCATTGAAATGGCGCCGAGCCGCTGTGTCCGCTAGTAGCTTCAGGAAGGTTGGTACTTCCGCGCATGGGCAGCCATAGGTGTCGACTGCTAATGGGAAAAAGCCAACCGTCTCCGGCCGGTTGGCGTAATGCTTGATCTTCTTATCCGCTTGTTCCCGTGCCGCCCATCCCCTGCCTTTCTGCGCCTCTGGGTCCCTCGTGCTTATGGGGTCTGTGATGGTGACATCACAGACATAAACCGCCCCACTGCTTCTATCTGTCAAGGTGAAGTCGGCGGTTTGATCCTCGATAGGGCAATGGATGGCCGACTCGCCGTGAACAATGAAACCTGCATGCTGCGCCATGCTAATGCACGCATCCCGTAGCTCGTTGTGGGTGTTGATGCGGTGTTTGCCCATGCCGCAGCGGAGGAGATGGTTCGGCAGGCGGGGATCCGTGATGGCGGTCTTGTCCGCGCAGTCGCAGTTCTTAGGGGTTGAAAAGGGGAGGGCCAGGCGGAATCGAACGGCGTTGGCGAAGTGTACGGGGCCTATCCGTCTCGTGGGTTCAATGGGGATCGCGGTCAGCCAATCGCCGGTGCCATATCCAGTCAGCGAGAACATACGCTGCGTGTGGCCTGAGAGTGGGTTCAGCCGCATGCGTCTGGTTGCCCGGACCTGAACGGCGTATCTGCTTCCGTGCACCTTTAGCCCGAGCACATGTTGTAGCCTAATATCCGATCGCTCCAGCCGCTCCTTCTCCAGGATCTCGCGCGCGTCTAGTGGCAGGGCCGCTTCGCACTCCTTGAGCCATGAGTGCATCGGTGTGCTGTCGTCTCTTGGCAGCAGCATGTGGTTCTGAGCGATCGTCAAAGCATTCTCCGGTTCTAGCGCCAGGGAGGACAGGAATAGCGCCGCTTGAATGAAACTCGCTGTGAAACCGTAGACCCCTTCTATGAGCGGGTCTGTAATGCCGATGCCACCCAGCGACGTGGGCAGCGACGCCTGCTCCCACACACGCGCTTGCTCGGTGCGGCACGTTGGCATGTGGATGTCGCAGGAGGTGAGTAAGGTAGTGAGCAGGTCCCGACCCCACTGGCTCCAGGTGTCGCGGGGGAGTAGGTGGAGCGGTGTCGTTCTAATGAGGTAGGCTACTCGTCTAGAAATGCATCGCGTGAGGAGCAGCGCGGCTACTTGGGGGTCAGCACGTTCTATAAGTGGCAGTGGCTTTGTCATCTCGGCTAGCTGTTCGGATAGGAACTTAGCTGCTCCGGCGTCCGTCCCCACGTAGCTACCCAGAAGCCGTACTCCGTCCTTTGAAACCGGCACCCCGGGTGGGAGTTGTGCTTGTGTGACTGTGATCGAGCTCCATGCCGCACATTTCTGCGGATTATGCGTCAGGCCCAGTCGTGCCAGCTTGGCTGTGAAGTCTGTGAAAGCTGCTACAGTGCACGAGGTGTCACCAAGGAAGGTGACATCGTCCGCATACGCCAAGCATAGCACGTTGGGGTGTATTCCCGCTGCGAACAGTAACAGGCCTAGAGGGTCTCCCTGCCGAACGCCCCGTTCACTTTGCAGCGGTTCGCAGTTGAAATCGGCGTCCAGGAGCAGCTGCGACGGGTTACCATAGGTCAGTTTTACAAATGGCTGCAGTGGCGAGAGTCCGGGCTCCTGTGACGCAGTAGCGATGGCATGTCGCGAAATGCTGTTGAATGCATTCGAAATATCGGCTTGGAGGACCACGCTGTCGGGACGGGCATCCAAAAATGCCCTGGCTGCGTGGATTACCGCCTCTGCTCCGCCTGGCACTGCCACGCCGTACTGAATTGGCAGGAAATGTTCGCGGGCAGCTTCACCCATGGCTAACAGGGCTGCCTTGGCTGTCAGCCTTGTCAAACATTCGCCTATCGCGATTGGCCGGGCTCCTCCCCCAGGTTTGGCCAGAGCTATGAGCCGTGACGCAGTCAGAATTTTTGCGACCGGGCCTGCCAAATTTCCTCCGAGCATGGTATTGACCAAGGCGTGCAGATGGGTGCTGACCATTCCGTTGGTGATCGCCGCGTCGCGTAGGTGCTCAAATGTCGTACCCGAGGGTCCGGCCCCCACCCCGTTCTCGCATCTTCCTAGAATCTTGGCGAATTCAGCATGGGTGATGGACAGTTTTGACTCGGGTGGCTCGGGCCAGGTCACTGCTTCGGGTACTGCTGGCGGGTGCTTTTGACGCAGCTCTTCCAAAATTTCCGGGCTCGGGGTGCAGACGGGTGTTGACTCCAGGGCCAGCACGGCCCGGCGTAGGCTGCCACGTTTCGCTAGGCCCTCGGCTCGGCTGATGACTCCGGTCGTGTCAGGCTGGTGTCGTGGCGGTGGGGGTGTGTTGACCGCGTCAACCGCGTCCTGGTACAGCTGCCCCTATTCGCCGCGCTGAAAGGCTCGGAGCCGGGCTTTGACCCCCGGCCAGTTCGGTCGTTGTGGCGAGGTCTGGCAAAGTGTTAGGCGCGGGAGAAACAGCAACAGGCGCCAACCCGCTTCGGATTCGGGGTTTCGCGATAGGTGAAGTAACGGTGTCAGTAGCGCCAGCGAGAACAGTTGGCACAGATTCGGCGGTAAACGGCGTGACAGCGAAGGCTGACGACTGTCGCAGAGTGCCCCGATGTCCCAGCTCGCGATGGTTGCGAACAGGTCTGCTCGCTTCGCCAGTTCGTCAGGCGAAAAATAGCGGGGAGTCGGAGTGGTTTGGCGCGTCGTGACATTGATAGTGGCGGTCCGATTTCGTCGAGCGCGGCCCGTCCGCACTGGTAGGATTGGGGTTGGAATTTCACCCGTTCGATCGACATCGGACGGTCGCTGATCCGCCTGTGCTGCTTGCGTGGCCGAGTGCCCTACCCCCGCTACTCCTCTTCCCGCTGCCTCCCTCGTACTGCCTTCGTCCTCGATCCCCTCGTCTTCGCTTGGAGGGAGGGATTCTTCCCTATAAGATGGGTCCCTTAACTCGTCATCCTCATTAGTTGCATCCAGAGCCGTTAAAGCCATTCGCGCCGCCGCTTGATACCCGTTCTCCGGACCTCCGCCTGTCCCGCTCGTAACCTGCCTCCTGGCCCCGCGACCTCCCTGCTCTTCAGATGGTGATTGCTGGTTCATCTGGGCCATCGCCAGAGCGCGCTGCCGCTTGGTCGGCTGTGGTCGCCCAGCCTCAGGCGGGGCCCGGAAAGGCGACCATGCCGTCGAAACCCCCTGTACCGCCAGCTCCGACGCCCGCGACAACAGTCACTGAAAAGACTCTTCCCCATGCACCCGCGGATCCCCTTGCCGTGTCGGGGGCTGGCCCGTCTGTTCCTGCTGCTGCTCCGTCCGCTCCTAGGGGTGTTGCTGATCCCCCGGTTCTTCTCCCTGGCGCGCCCGTTGCACCGCCTGCTTCTGTCCCCGACGCGCCTATTCCGGCTTCTGTTTCGTCGCCAAAGGCGGCGTCCGCCACCACTGAACTCACCAGTGAAGATTGAGCTCAAAGGACTCCTCACTAGGTGCTTTATACTAAGAAAACAGCCCTGGAAACGACTAAGGACTAAGGCCTAGGCAGGAGAGGGTGGAAAACGGCTAAGGACTAACCCCAAGCCATCTCTCTCTCTCACTCTCTCGCTCTCTCTCGAACGAGCCGCCGGTTTTTGGGGAGTAAACTGAACTCACCAGTGAAGAGTGAGCTCAAAGGACTCCTCACTAGGTGCTTTATACTAGGAAAACAACCCTGGAAACGACTAAGGACTAAGGCCTAGGCAGGAGAGGGTGGAAAACAGCTAAGGACTAACCCCAAGCCATCTCTCTCTCTCTCTCTCTCTCTCTCTCTCTCTCTCTCTCTCTCTCTCTCTCTCTCTCTCTCTCTCTCTCTCTCTCTCGAATGGGCCTTGCATTAATAACTTGGGTGTTACAAAGATAGATGCAGAAACATGCAACAACATACAAACAAGCAAACAACCAAGCATCCTAACAACTAACAGTTCACCTACTATCTCCCATCTCCCCTCTGTCCGGCCCTACTGGCCGAATGGGGGCTCAATCAGCTGGTGCAACTGCCCCTCGCTAAGGGGGATTAGGGGTCCCTGCATGCCTAGCTCGTCCGCCGCCAGGGCCTCGTTGGTCTTGGAGCGGAGGGCATTTGCTTGTGCCCGTTGGAGGCACACACTCCAGCGCTGGCGGTACTCAGTCAGCAGCTTGGCGGCCTCGTAGGAGGTAGGGGCTGCATGAAGTGCAGCTTGGCCGCCAGCTCTGCACACTGCCGTAGGTAGGCCATCACTCCTGGGGAGGGGTAGCCGTAGGTCTCAACTGCAAGGGCGTGGAAGCCCACCCACGCGTTCCGGCGCGCGTACTTCTCCTCCTTCCTATCTGCTGCCGCCCTAGCCGCCCATCCAGGAGCTCGGTTGCAGTTCTCGTCCTGGTGGGACACGGGGTCAGTCACAGTCACGTCACACAACAAACTTCTCCTGTCAGGGGATGACGGATGGTGACATCCGCCTTTAGGTTCTCAACAAGAGAGTAGATGTAGGTCTCCTTGTGCACCGTGAAGCCCGCCTCTGCCCCTATCCTGGCTATCTCATCCCGGAGTGCGTGGTGAGTAGCTATCCTCCCCTTCCCTTTCTCGCAGGGCATGAGGTGGTTGGGGAGGCGGTCGTCAGGAAACGTGGTGCGGTATCGGCAGTCGCAGCGCCTAGGAACGGATAGGGGGAGGCCTAGGCGGAAGGCAGCTGCGGTAGAGAGCTGTGAGGGTCCCATCCTGAGCGAGGAGATGAGGGGCACTGCCAGCAACCAGTCCCCTGCACCCGGGCCCAGCACGGACTGCATCCGCTGGGCATGGCCAGAGAGGGGGTTGGGGCGCATTCGTCTCGCCTCGTTCATGACCCTGAGGAAGCGGCGGGTGTGGACTGCCAGTGCGAGGGACTCCTGCAGCTTGAGGCCTTTGGGGTCTGCTTTCCCCGCCTGTAGGGCTTCTAGTGCTTCTGGTGGGAGGGCTGCTTCTGCTGCTGCTAGACGGGCTGGGAGGGCGTGGGCGGAGCCGGGGATGGGGTCCAGGAGGGGGAGTAGGGCGGCTATGGCGGGGTGTAATGTATCGCCCAGGGAGTGTAGGAGGTGGGAGGTGGCGATCACCGACGCGAGGTAGGCGTATCCCCCCTCAACGGCGGGGTCCGTGATGCCCAGTCCTCCAAGGGTTACAGGAAGCGCCGCTTGCCGCCAGATTCGTCTCCTCTCCACGTCACTCCGCGGTGTTACAATGTGCGCCGCATTGAGGAACGACAGTAGCAGCTGCTCCCCCCATGCCGACCATTCCGCCTCGGGCAGCACCTCCAGTGGGGTTGTTCTGGCGAGGAAAGAGGCGCGGCGGCTGACGCAGCGAGTGAGGAGAAGGAGGCGGAGCTGGGGGTCCATCTGGGCTAGGAGGGGTAGTGGTTCCGCTGCTGCCGCAAGCCGCTCCCTAACCGTACTAGCGCACCCCAGGGGAGTGCCGACGGGGCTTCCCAAAATCTGGAGCCCTTCGCCTGAGATGGGGATGCCCGGCGGCATGGAGGTGGGGTCGATCTGCGAGGCGGACCAAGCGGCGCACTTGGCGGAATTGTGGACCAGGCCGATGGTGGCGAGTGCTGAGGTGAGGTGGTTGAAGGCGGCGGTGCAGGCTGGGGCATCACCGAGCAGGGTGATGTCGTCGGCGTAGGCGAGTAGGACCACCTGTGGGTGTGCTGCTGCGGTGGCCGCGAGGCACGGCTGAATGCTAGCCGCGAATAGCAGAGGACCAAGCGGGTCCCCTTGGCGGACTCCCCTGGCGCTCTGTAGGGGGGCCGCGCCATAGTCGGCGTCGAGGAAGAGGGATGACGGGGCCCTGTAGGAGAGGCGGACGAGCGGGATAAGGGCTTCCAGCGCTTCGTTTCGGAGGCCTTCGAACACCGCCCCTCTTTCTACAGCGTTAAAGGCGTTGGCGATGTCTATCTGCAGCGCCGTCGTGTCTGGTCGATGTTCTAAGTGTGTGCGCGCCGTCTGTATAGCGGCCTCGATGCCCCCAGCTATCGCCACCCCAAACTGGAGGGGGGCAAAGTGCTTTCTAGCGGCCGGCGATGTCAGGAAGAGGGCCGCCTTCACGATGATTCGTAGCAAGCACTCGCCTACCGCTATCGGCCTTGTCCTGCCCTGCGGTTTAGTGAATGCTAAGAGGCGGGAGGCAGTAAGGAGCTCAGCCGCGCATCCGCCCAGTTTCCCCGCTAGAGCCGTGTTGGTGAGGGCTAATAGGTGAGTAAAAACCTCTTGGTTGCCTAGGGCCGCGTCTCTTAGTTGCTCGAAGGTGGTTCCCGAGGGCCCTGCTCCTACTCCGTTTGGCAGCTTTGCGATGATTCGTCTGAAGTCCTTGGCTTCGATAGCGGGGGAGTTTTCGGTGTGGAATGTTTGCACCCAGTCTGGGAGGTCCTGCTGGGCTGGGGGGTGCCTCGCCTTGAGTGCATCTAGCACTTCGGGTGAGGCGGGCGAGACAGGTGTAGCCTGGAGGGACTGTAGTGATTTGGCCAGGTTACCACGTTTCGCCAGTCCCTCAGCTCTGGCGAGGATTCCCGTGTTGTCAGGTGCGTGGCGAGGTTGGGGTGGGAGGGAGATCGCCTCGACCGCCTCCTCGTACAGGCCTGTCAAGAGCCCTTGGCAAAACTGGACGAGGCGATTCATCATCGCGCACCAGTCTGGTTTCCGTGCTGATGATGTGCGCAGTAGAATTCGCGGGAGGAATGTCAGTAACTTCCACCCCGCTGCTGACTCGGGATTGGCTGCCAGGTGGAGCAGGGGGGTCAGTAAGCACACTGCGAAGGACTCGCGAAGGTCCTTCGGTGGGTGGCGGGCGAGTGGCGGTTGGCGACTGTCGCGGAGTGGGTCCAATTCCCAGCCTGCGACCTGAGCGAACAGGTCGGTTCGTTTCGCCAGGTCGTCAGGCTTGAGCATGGGCGGCGCGGGAGTTGTTGCTGCTGGGTTATTATTGGCCGCGACCGAGTTGACTTCGCCTCTCGCCGCGACTCGGGTTCCCCCCAATGTTGGATTTCCCCCCGCGGCTCGGTTTTGAGATGTGTTTCGTCCACCTGCAGGAGCGCCTCGACTGTTTTGGTTGGGAAATTCCGCTCCACTGTGGAGGAGCTCTTCCTCCTCCTCAGACTCTTCGTCCAACACCCCCTCTCTTTCAGGGTTAAATTCGGGGTCACCCGCGTCACTTTCAACATTCTCGTTTTCCTCTACCTCCTCGTCGCTAGCAGCTTCCTCGCCGCCCCCTGCGCCCCCCTGTAGAATCCTCTCTGCAGCCCTGGCATAAGCGCTTGCGCCCGTTCGTCGCGTGTTCCCCCTGCCGGCTCAGCCTCCTCGTCTTCCACCACTCCGCTGCCCCGCGCTGCCTCTGCCTCGTGATGCCTGCGGCGCTCGGGGACGAATTCTCGTACCCACCCCCGCCCTTTGACGGGGCGTTTGCTGCGCGTGCGTGGTCGGCCTCATCTGCCTCTGTTGTGACCTCCGCGGAGATGTCGTCTGTTCCTGCGCCGCCGTCGTCTGCTCCTGCTGCTCTTGCTGTTCGACCGGCGGCGCCTGCTGCGGATTCGCCTGCTGGGGCGAAGCATCCGGTGCTTGCCCAGGAGCTTGCGTGCTCCGTGCCTGTCCCACTGGCCCCTGGGCCTGCCCCTGACCTCCCCCTGCCTGTTGCCGCGTCTGTTGACCCCGCCGTCCCGGCTGCGCCGTCTGCTGCCCCTATTCCCGCGGAGCCGATCCTTCCTGGTGGTTCGTCACCGCTGGCGGCGTCCGCCGCCACTGGCGGCTCGGCCCCGGTTGCGGGATCTGGGGAGACTGTTCACTCGGCGCTAAGGGTTCAGACAGTGGCTGCGACCTCGCAGCAGCATCGTCCCCCGTCCCCGGACCGCTGTGGGGGCCGGCCTCATTCTCCTGCGCCCCGCGAGGAGTGGGAGTCAACTCGTCGCCGGCGCGATTCTCCTCGGCGTCAGCGTTCGCAGGCGAACTGGCCTGCCCATCGTGGCGGTCGCGGCGGCTGAAGGGGAGGGTGCGGCCGCGGTGGGGGGTGGGTGTACGATCAGCCGGTGACGATGGCCGATTTGCAGCGGGTCGTCTCGCTGGAGATGCGGAGGGAGAGGGCTGGGCAGGTGGGTCCCCCCAGCTTGCCGCAGGGAGCGCCGCTGGCTGCGGCTCCTCCTCCTGTTGCTCCTCCTGCGGCTGCATCGTCGGCGGCCGCTTCTCCGCGTTCCGCTTCTCGTCGCTCCGCTCCGCCTGCCGCTGGAGCTCTCCAGCCATTCCAGGCGTTGGTGGGTCCCCTTCCCGTGGCCGAGGTCCCGGAGGCGATGCTCGGGCAGCTGTGGCGCCTCTCTGAGCGGTTACGGGCGGTTCATTTGATCCAGATGTATGGTCATGCGGGTCTCTCCCGTGGGAACTCTCTGGATGACGGTTCCCGAGACGAGTGTCTTGACGCCGCGGATCGCCTCGCGGAGCTCCTGGCGCCCGTGCTGGCTGCGCCCGCGAGGGGAGGAGCTGCGGGTGTTGGGCAGCTGGGGACTGCAGTCCGAGGTTTGCGGCGCTTCTCGCGTGCAGGGTCTGCAGCCGATGTGATCGTCGCAGGCACAGCTGTGGTGCGGGAGTTGCATCGCTCGGTGACGGGGTTGCTCGCGGTTCTTGACGCGGACCAATTGTAGCGTCCGCAAGAGCCTCCTCTCCGTTTGTCTGTTCGCTTTGTCTCATTGTAGGCCCGTGTTGGTGCTGCCTGTTGTTGCCTTGTGTGTATGCCAACGCTATAGTGGTGGTGGTTGCGCCTGGAGCACTTGTCGTCCCCTCACGCGCGGCCGAAGGCCGCGCTGTCGAGCGTCGGCCGCCGAAGGCGGCCGGCGCGAGCGAAAAAATCTGCACCACCACAGAATAATGAGACGAAGAGGCCTAGAAGGCCTCTTAAATAGCTCACAAGGGAGAGGGAAGAGGGCTAAGGGAGAGGGCAGAGGCTAGGACCCTCTCTCTCTCTCTCGCTCTCTCTCTCTCTCTCTCTCTCTCTCTCTCTCTCTCTCTCTCTCTCTCTCTCTCTCTCTCTCTCTCTCTAATGGTCCTTGTATTGATATAGCAGCAAGGTACAAGCATGCAAAATATAGAGGCCTAGGTAACAAACAAGCCCAGCATCAAATCCTACCGACAACCTCTTCTAGAGCTCCAGGAAGGGCTCGACCACCGCAAAACAATCCCCCAGGTTCAGCTCCTGCCCTATACCGCCTACCGGCGGGGTTCTCTGCTGCTGCCGCCTCGCCGAGCTTGAGTAAGAGGCCCACAGATTGGGCCCGTTGAAGGGCCACCGACCATCTCTGTCTGAACTGGTGCAGAAACTTCGCGGCATGAAAGGATTTTGAGTCGGCGTTGAAGTGGCGCCGAGCCGCCGTGTCTGCTAAGAGTTTCAGGAAAACAGGTACCTCGGCGCATGGGCAGCCGTAGGTTTCCACAGCCAGAGGGAAGAAGCCAACAGTCTCCGGCCGGTTAGCGTAATGCTTTATCTTTTTGTCGGCCTGCTCCTTTGCCGCCCACCCCCTGCCTTTCTGTGCCTCAGGGTCCCTTGTGCTCATGGGGTCTGTGATGGTGACATCATAGACATAGACCGCCCCACTGCTTCGGTCTGTCATGGTGAAATCGGCAGTCTGCTCTTCAATGGGGCAGTGGGCGGCTGACTCGCTGTGAACTATAAACCCCGCATCCCGCGCCATGCTAATGCATGCATCCCGCAGCTCGTTGTGGGTGTTGATGCGGTGCTTGCCCGTGCCGCAGCAGAAGAGGTGATTTGGGAGGCGGGGGTCGGTGATAGCTGTGTGGTCAGAGCAGTCGCAATTCTTTGGCGTTGAAAACGGGAGCCCGAGCCGGAAGCGCACGGAGTTGGCGAAATGTACTGGGCCTATCCGTCGGTTTGAGGCAATAGGGATCGCTGTCAGCCAGTCGCCGGTGCCGTATCCCGTCAGCGAGAACATCCGCTGCGTGTGGCCTGAGAGGGGGTTCGGTTTCATGCGCCTCGTGTCCTGCACCTGCACGGCGTATCTGCTGTCGTGGACCTTCAAACCGAGTACGTGTTGTAGCCGAACGTCCGACCGTTTCAGTCGTTCCTGTTCCAAGATCTCCCGCGCGTCCCATGGCAACGCGGCTTCGCACTCGGTAAGCCATGTGTGCAGTGGTGTGGTGTCGACCCGCGGCAAGAGCATGTGATTCCGAGCTCGGATCAGGGCGTTATCTGGTTCCAGTGCGAGGGAGGAGAGGAAGAGTGCCGCCTGGGTGAAACTCGCCGTGTACCCGTATACTCCTTCTATAAGAGGGTCTGTGAGGCCGATGCCTCCCAGTGATGGTGGTAGTGATGCCTGCGCCCATACTCGGGCTTGCTCGGCTCCGCACGTGGGGACGCGGATATCGCATGATACCAGTAGTGCGATGAGTAGGTCCCGTCCCCACTTGCTCCAAGTTTCGCGAGGGAGTAGGTGAAGGGGTGTCGTTCGGGTGAGATAAGCCACACGCCTGGAGATGCAGCGAGTCAGTAGCAGAGAAGCTACCTGAGGGTCGGCTCATTCGAGGAGGTGTAATGGCTTCGCCATTTCTTCTAGCTGGCTTGACAGGAATTTGGCCGCTCCCATATCCGACCCCAGGTAGCTTCCTAGAAGCCGTACGCCTTCCTTTGAATACGGCACTCCATGTGGTAGCTGCGCCTGCTCAACCATGGACGCACTCCAGGCTGCACACTTCTGCGGGTTATGTGCTAGGCCTATGTGGGCCAATTTGTCGGTGAAGAACGTGAAGGCTGCTACAGTGTGTTGTGTCTCCCCCAAAAAGGTGACGTCATCCGCGTACGCCAGGCAGAGCACGTCCGGATCGGCCGTTTCGCGGAGTATGTGGTGTATCCCTGCTGCAAATAGTAACGGGCCGAGTGGGTCGCCCTGGCGAACACCGCGTTCGCTCTTCAGTGGTTCGCTGCTGAAATTGGCGTCCAGATTTAGCAGCGACGGGTTACCGTAAGTCAGCTGAACTAACGGCAGCAGTGGCGAGAGGCCGGGTTCTTGTAACGCTGTTGCGATGGCTTGGCGTGAAATACTGTTGAAGGCATTCGAAATGTCCGTCTGCAGTACCAGGCTGTCGGGACGGGCATAAAAAAACGCCCTGGCTGCGTGGATTACCGCTTCTGCTCCACCTGGCACTGCCACTCCGTATTGAAGGGGTAAGAAGTGCTCGCGGGCAGCTTCTCCCATGGCTGCGAGGGCTGCTTTGGCTGCCAGCCTGGTCAGACACTCGCCTATCGCGATTGGCCGTGCGCCACCTCCAGGTTTGGCCAGGGCGATGAGGCGTGATGCTGTCAACAGGTTTGCCACCGAGCCTGGTAAGTTTCCCCCCAGAATCGTGTTTACCAGGGCGTGCAGATGGGTGCAGATCGCTGCATTGGTAACTGCCGCGTCGCGCAGATGTTCGAAGGTCGTGCCTGACGGACCGGCCCCCACTCCATTTTCGCACCTTCCCAACATTTTGGCGAAGTCGGCGTGGTTGATGGTCAACTTTGACTCCCCCGTCGCCGGCCAAGTCAACCCCGCGTGTGCAGCAGGAGGGTGTTTTCGGCGGAGGTCGTCCAGGATTTCTGGGCTTGGTGTGCAGACTGGCGTGGACTCCAGGGCCAGAACGGCTCGGCGCAGACTGCCACGTTTTGCCAGGCCTTTGGCTCGGCTTAGGACTCCAGTCGAGTCAGGCTGGTGACGTGGCGGTGGAGGTGTGTTGACCGCCTCCACCGCGTCCAGATACAACTGCTCCCATTCGCCACGCTGGAAGGCTCGGAGCCGGGCTTTGACCTGTGGCCAGTTCGGTCGCTGTGGCGAGGTCTGGCGAAGTGTTAGGCGCGGGAGAAACAGGAGCAGGCGCCATCCTGCTTCGGATTCGGGGTTTCGCGAAAGGTGGAGCAATGGTGACAGTAACGTCAGCGAAAACAGCTGACACAAATTTGGCGGTAGACGCCGTGACAGCGAGGGCTGTCGACTGTCGCTAAGTGCTGCGATGTCCCAGTCTTCGATGGCAGCGAACAAATCTTCCCGCTTCGCCAGCTCGTCAGGCGAAAAATAGCGGGGGATGGGTGAGGTCTGGCACGTCGCGACATCGGCACTAGCGGTTTGATTTCGCCGAGCGCGGCCCGTCCTCGCTGGTGAGGCTGATGTTGGAATAACGCCCGTCCGATCGGCATCGGACGGTCCCGGATCTGCGTGTGGGCATTGCAAGGCTGGGCTCCCTAAATCAGCTGCCCTTCTCCTCGCCGTCTCCCTCGCCCCGTCTTCCTCCACCGACTCTCCTTCTTCACTCTCGGGTAGGGCTTCTTCCCTATAACTAGGGTCTCGTAATTCTTCCTCCTCATTAGCTTCTTCCAGGGCGGTTAAAGCCCTTCGTGCCTCTGCCTGGTACCCATTCTCCGGGCCTCCACCTGTCCCACTAACAGCCTGCCTCCTAGCCCCGCGGCCTCCTTGTTCGAGCGATGGTGATTGCTGGTTCTGCCGAGCCGTCGCCAGAGCGCGCTGCCGCCTGGTCGGCTGTGGTCGCCAAGCCCCATTCGGGCCCCGAAAAGGTGACCACGGCGACGAAGCCCCCTCTACCGCAGGCTCTGAAGCTCGCGACAGCAGTCTCTGAAACGACTCTTCCCCTCGTACCCGCGGATCCCCTTGCCGCCCCCGAGTCTGGTCCGTCTGCCCCTGTTGCTGTTCCGTCCGGTCCGGCTGCTCCTCCTGCTCCCCCTGCGGCTGTTGTCGAACCGTCTGCTCCTCCCCCTGGTCTCGATCCTGCGCCACCTGCGCCGTGTGCTCCCGTCGCTGCGCAGTCTGCCCCCGTCGTCCCTGCTGTGCTACCTGCCGCTGTTGTCCTCCCTGCGGCGATCCCCGCCGTTACGCAGTCACTGCTGGCGGTGTCCGCCACCACTGGCGGCCCGGCTCCCTTGGTTGCGCCCTCAGCTGCGGGTCAGTCCGCGCCTGCTGTGGCACCGATGGCCCCGGCAGGCCAGCCGTCACGACCCCAGTCACCTGACCGCCGCCCGTCTCGTCCTCATTTCCCCGCGCCCCACCAGGATCGCAAGTCGTCTCGTCGCCGTCGTGATTCTCCACGGCGTTACCAGCAGCAGCCTCACTGGCCTGCTCACCCCGGTGGTCAGGGGGACTGGAGGGGTCCCCGCGGGCGCGGTGGTGGTGGGGGGTACCGCCCGCCGGTGACGATGGCAGATCTTCAGCGGGAAGTGTCGAGGGCGGTACGCGAGGAGAGGGCGTCGCAGAGCCAGAGCAGTTCGATGCGCGCCTCGCCGGCCCTTGAGGCTCCACGCCAGCCTGTGCTCCCCTTGAGTCCGCCGCCTGTCGCCGCACCCCCTCCTCAGGTTCACATCCCAGCGGCCCCTGCTCCCGACGCGTCGGCGCCCGCCCCTGGAGCGCGTCTTCGCTTGCCGCCGGTTCCGCCTGTTGCGGGGGTGGAATTTGTGGCCGCTTGTGGCGGCGCGTTTGCGGCGCAGTATTCGCATCCCGCGGATGAAGATCAGCTGCTCCTGTTCCTGGCAGAGGCGCTTCAGCCTCCGCAGACTCGTGTTCCAGAGGCGACGCTCGGTCAGCTCCATCGCCTCGCTGAGAGTCTTCACGCGCTACTGCTGATTCAGGTGGTTGCACATTCGTCTCTCCCCGTAATCCCTCCTGAGTCCTTCCGTGGCCGCCATCGTGACACTTGTCTGGACGCGGCAGACCAGCTCGCAGTGCTCCTGGCGCCCGTGCTGGCTGCGCCCGTGGAGGGAGGCGCTGCTGCTGCGGGACAGCTTGCTATATAAGGGGCCTTCTTGGCCTCTCTTCTTCATTGTGTGGCGGCAGTAATTTTTTTCGCTCGCGTCGGCCGCCTTCGGCGGCCGACGCTCGACAGCGCGGCCTTCGGCCGCGCGTGAGGGGTGGCAATGGATCACACATGCGAGTTACTATAAGCACTGTCATACACGCAATGGCAGCATCAACACCGGCATCTCTCGAGCGAGCGAAAAAATTACTGCCGCCACACAATGAAGAAGAGAGGCCAAGAAGGCCCCTTATATAGCTAGAAGGCCAAGGGCAGAGGGCAGAAGGCAGAGGGCAGAGGGCAGAGGCTAGAGTTCCCACTCTCTCTCTCTCTCTCTCTCTCTCTCTCTCTCTCTCTCTCTCTCTCTCTCTCTCTCTCTCTCTCTCTCTCTCGCTCTCTCGAGCGAGCGAAAAAATTACTGCCGCCACACAATGAAGAAGAGAGGCCAAGAAGGCCCCTTATATAGCTAGAAGGCCAAGGGCAGAGGGCAGAAGGCAGAGGGCAGAGGGCAGAGGGCAGAGGCTAGAGTTCCCACTCTCTCTCTCTCTCTCGCTCTCTCGAGCGAGCGAAAAAATGACTGCCGCCACACAATGAAGAAGAGAGGCCAAGAAGGCCCCTTATATAGCTAGAAGGCCAAGGGCAGAGGGCAGAAGGCAGAGGGCAGAGGTCAGAGGCTAGAGTTCCCACTCTCTCTCTCTCTCTCTCGCTCTCTCGAGCGAGCGAAAAAATTACTGCCGCCACACAATGAAGAGAGGCCAAGAAGGCCCCTTATATAGCTAGAAGGCCAAGGGCAGAGGGCAGAAGGCAGAGGGCAGAGGGCAGAGGCTAGAGTTCCCACTCTCTCTCTCTCTCTCTCTCTCTCTCTCTCTCTCTCTCTCTCTCTCTCTCTCTCTCTCTCTCTCTCTCTCTCTCTCTCTCTCTCTCTCTCTCTCTCTCGAATGAGCCGCCGTTTTTGGAGAGTGAAATGAACTCACCAGTGAAGAATGAGCTCAAAGGGGTGCAGCTAGGGACTTTATACTAGGAAACTAGACTGGAAAAACGGCAAAGGACTAGATTCTACACTAGAGAGGGTTGAAAACGGCTAAGGACTTGTCCATGGCCATCTCTCTCTCTCTCTCTCTCTCAAGCAGTCATGTATTGATATGGGTCACAAGGTACAGGCATGGCGGGTGATGGTGACTAGCCTGTCTGAAGCAACCAGGAAACCAGAACTTACAAACAGAGCACGCACATCCAGCCTAAGCACACCGTTCACCTAGCACTCAGAGCAGCCCGGTCCACAGCAGCACAAATCCCTGAGAACCCCATAATCCACCCGTCCTGTGGCTCCTCCCAAACCATAAAACCTCCCCAAGTCCTCCTCCACCCTGCAGCTTCCTCCCACATTCCCTGAAACACCCTCCATTATCCCTGTTCCCTCTGAACCCTTCCAAGCCGCCTTGGCAGGAACCATCCCACGCCTGGGATTCCCCCCCCGGCCCCTCATCATGCTCCTATACCCCACCCTTGCCACCACCCAGCACCCCCCGGTCACCCATTTCCTTCCTCCCCGGCCCCCTAAGCCGCTCTAGCTGGGGCCTAGCGCTCCTCATACTTGTCCACCTGCACCTGCCAGAGGTCCCCCAGCCGGGGGGCCCAAGGGTCCGCTGCAGCCTGAGGGAATGCCACTTCCGCTGCCCGGTTTGACTTGGAGAGGAGGGACGTCGCCTGGCTGCGTTGGAGCATCACCGACCACCGTTGCCTGTAGTGTGCATTGAGGCGGGCAGCGCTGGTGGTGAGGTGCCCCTGGCGGTACTTCTTCTTCGCCGCATAGGTAGCCAACATACGGAGGAACTGTTGAGTGTCAGTCGCCAACGCCCCGTAGGTCTCAACCGCTAGGCCGAAGAAACCCACATAGCCAGGCCGCCCCTCGTAGAGCCTGTGCTTGGCCTGCGAAGCCTCCTCAGCTGCCCATCCCGGCGGCTTCCGTGCCCTCACATCCCTCCTCTGTAGGACCGGGTCTGTCACAGTCACGTCCGTCGCCCAAGTCTCTCCCGACTCTTGGTCCCTGACGGCTAGGTCAGCACGCTTGTTCTGGACAGGGGGAGAGAACGCGGTGGTCTCGTGAAAGGTTTTGTACCCGGCTTCCTGCGCCATGCGAAGAGCAGCGAAGGCCAGCGCATTGTGGGTGCGCACAGCATCCCCACCATCGGCACACCGTAGCAGGTGGTTCGGCAGACTCTTGTCGGCTATCTTGGAGTTGGATCTCTTGCAGGGGCAGACCTCTGCTACCGGTAGTTCCATGCCAAGGCGCAAGCCTAGTGCCAAGGAGAACTGACCAGGGGATATTGAAAGGTCAGCCCTCGTGGGCACTGCATGGAGCCAGTCGCCTGCTCCCACTCCTTTCAGGCTGATGAGCCGAATGGCATGGCCCCAGTCCACCCCCGGCCTATCAGTTACCGTATCTGCCAGCAGCTCCTCCGCCCGCATGTGATTGATGGCCTTGGAGAGCCCCAGCTGCAGGTTGCCCATACCCCTGGGGTTCTCTCTGTAGCTGTGTAGAACCGCTGCTGCCTGTGCTGGGAGCCTTGCCTCGAGCGGGGACAGCGGGTTCACCCGGGGGGGAGGTGGGGTCCAAGTCGGGGAAAGTAGTTCCCTAGCCCTGTGAAGTAGGTAGTCTGTCGGCAGGTTCAGCTGCTGCAGTAGAAGGTGCGCCGCTGCAGTTGAGGCCAGGTACGCGGCTGGGGCTTCGGAAGTGGGATCAATGATTCCCAGGCCCCCCAGCCAAACCGGGAGCGTTGCCTGGCGCCACAGCAGGCTTTGCTCTAGCTCGCTCGGCGGGATCTGTAGCTTCGATGACGTGAGCCCTGCTCCCACCAATGCCTCGCTCCACTCCCTCCATTCACTACGGGCCAGTGCCTCTTCCGGTGTTGTGCGAAGTAGGTACGAGATGCGGCGGGAGATGCTCCGAGATAGAATGAGTAGGGCGTGCTGCGGGTTGAGTTGGGAGACGAGGGGTAGCGGCGCAGCTGCCTCCGCAAGCGCCGCCCGGACCTAGTCGGTGCAGAAAGCATCGCTGCCAACCGGGCTGCCCAACATCTTTAAACCACCTGGGTGGATGGGAAGGCCGTGTGGCAGGCCGTCTCCCCCTTCCTCCCGCACTGCGCACCATGCCGCCGACTTGGCAAGGTTGCACCGTAACCCGCATGAAGCCAGCTCCGCAACGACCGTGTTGAAAGCGACGCACGCTGCTTCGCGGGGCCCCACGATGGTGATGTCGTCAGCATATGCCACTATTGTCACCTCCGGGACACTTGTAGCCACGCCGAGCAGAATAGGCTGGATCGCCGCTGCGAAAAGAAGAGGCCCCTTGGCGAACACCCCTGGAGCTTTGGATGTGTTCCACTTCCAGACGGGGGTCAACTAAAAGCCGCGAGGGGCCATCGTAGAGGTTCCGGACGAGCGGGAGCAGCGGGTTGAGAGTAGACCACTGGAGTGCGGAGAGGAATGACGCGCGTTCTACGCTGTTGAAAGCGTTCTCTACATCCAGCTATAGAGCTATGCGTGTCTCATCATCTCTGAGGAGAGAGCGAACCGTGTGGATAATACACTCCGCACCTCCAGGGACCGCTACGCCGAACTGAACGGGGAGGAAGAACTCTCGGATTTTCGGGCCTAAGCTGTGTAGCGCCGCTTTTGCTACCACGCGGAGTAATGCCTCGCCTATTGCGATCGGTCTAACTCCTCCCCCAGGCTTCTCTAATGCTATGAGCCGGGAAGGGAGTAGAAGGTCGCGGACTGGTTGGCTCTAGAAAGAGCTGGCGAGGTGATTAACCACGTTTGCGAGGAGTAGTAGGATCTCCTCATTCGCCAGGGCTGGGTCTCTCAGGTGTTCAAAACAGCAGCCTGAGGGCCCCGCTCCTATCCCATTCGGGCACTTCGCGAGGATTTCGCGAAAAGCTTCGAGTGGGATACTGAGCTCGGAGTTAGTTTTCCTGGTAACCCAGGCTGGTGTTGGAGTGCTAGAGGACGGGTGTTTCGCTCGCAGGGCAGTCAGCGTCGCCAGGTTCGGTTCGGCGAGGGGGCTCGTGCGTAACGCTGCAACTGCTTTCGAAATGTTACCTTTTTTAACCAAACCCTCTGCCCTCGCGCAAACCCCCTCGTCATCATTTTGGTGTCTAAGCGGAGCACCTGTGTCGGGGATGGTGCAAGCCGCTTCGAACAAACCATCCCAATCTCCTAGCTGGAACTGATGCAGCCGAGCCTCAATTGATGCCCATCGGCTGCCAGTGACTGGCTCTGGTGGCGGACGCAGCGTCAGCCTCGGGAGGTATAGCAGGATCGCCCATGCACCTGGGCATTCTGGGTTTGTTGACAGCCGTAGGAGTGGTGCGAGGAGGCATAGGCAGTATTTGTCTAACACCTGGGGTGGTAGCCGTCTGACTAGGAACGGTTGGTCCATTCGTTGGAGAAGGTCCAAGGTCCACGTGCCTGCTATCTACCAGATGGCGTCATCCTCTGCCAGGGTGGCTGGCGATTTCACCTCGTTGGCGACCGCTGCGGCTGGAACCGTCCCTCCTACAGCATGGGATGTTTCTCCTTCCACTCCCTCCCCTGTGCCTCTCGCTCGATTCCGCCCTCTCCCCACTTCCTCCTCGTTTTCTAGCGAAACCTCTTCCGACTCTGGGCCTGGTTCCTCTCCACACATAAAATCTGGATCCCCGTTCTCCTCAGCAGAGCCGGCTTCATCCCCATTGGCTGCAGCATCCGAAACCTTTGGACGGTTGTGACGTTCTCGCCACGGGCCCGTTCGGGCTTGGATCTCAGCTCCCCTCAGACGAGCGACACCCTCGCGCCCTCCCCCTCGCCTTCCGCGGCCCATACCGCGCAGACCCCGGCCCGCCATCGGCGCCGATCGAGCCGTGGCCTCCAGTCCCGCTCTCCCCGCCGGCATCCACGGCGTACGGCCTCCCCTTGGAGGACCCCACGTGACAGTGCCCAGCCGAGCCGAGCGACGAGTGG